CAATTTGCAGATGGATAAGATATATAATAAATGATAGCCACCCATGCAGATCAAAACTTAGCTGGATTTAAGCAATCTGGCCATCATGTGCGAATATATTTCAGTTCTGTCTTATAATACGAGAGCTAGGCAGAGTTTAATCATAGTGTTGAATTCAAACGGTTAGATGTCTTCATTGTTAAGATATTAATATAGGTTTTTAAAGTAATGAGTTTTTAGATGGTCGTAATTTCAGGAACACTTTCAGTTTATTTCGAGCTTACAACATGTCAAAGTCCAACTTGAATTATTAAACTAAACTGCCGCGTTATTAGACTAGTATTTGTGTAGTATCAAAAAATCAATTTTATATTATTTTTCTATCATGAATTATTTACAATACTGGTCTCTAGATTTTCCTTTTTCAGTATGCATAGTCAAATAGAGATATTTTTGCTCATCTGGGTACTGTTAAAACATAAACATTATTTTTTTCAAAGGAATAAACTATAACTATAACTATTGACTAATCCTTCAATGGAATATGAATTTAGAACATAGAACATAGATTATTACATGAAAAAGAATATATACGGTGTATTTAATTTATTTAATTTTTCATGTAAATCTAAACTCTTTCAACGCGTATCAGAATCTTTTCTACCACCAGAAAAATTAACTTCCTTCAAAAGAATACAGCTAAAATTTTTGAAATGGTAAAAATTCTAAAATGCATTCTTTATTCTCATATAATCCAAGTTGTTTATGTTTTGACGGTACCCGGATGAGCAAAAGTATTGTTTGACAATAACAATTCAGTTTTTGGAATTTATCATAGAGAACGTTGCATTGAGAAAACCAACATTTCAAAGTTCACGACATAATCCCAGCACTCGTGGACCTGAATTGGTAGTAGATGGTGATAGATCACAATATGGTGCCAGGAATTGTATGGACACTGGTTATTCTAATAATAGATGGTGGAGTGTAAACTTAACAGATACTTATCCTATTAGACAAATACATATATTATATAGACATGGAGATAGTTTTACTGGCCAGTGTAAGTATCTTGTAAATCTTTACAATCAGTTTCTGTGACATGACATTTTATATAATATGTCAACATGTTTATAGCGGTGAAATACTGTGTTCTTAATCTTAATTCTATACAAACTTTGTTTATCTCATCTTACTTTTGATGGGTAAAATCATTGAACTGTAACAAGAGTTTTTCAGTGTAGACAAATACATATTTTATATAGAAAAGGGTATGCTAATGGATTCCAGTATGGTGGGCAGTGTAAGAAACTTTATTTAAATCAGTTTGAATAACATTATTTATAATTTGTCAACATGATGTAATGTTCTGATTATTAATTGATTAATGCCGATATTTATATTTACAATTTTATGATGATGAAGTTTTTGTCATATTGATGTTAAACGTCAAGAAATTAAGACATTATTTTTATAGTATCAAAACGCCCTTACAGCAGACAAATTTCCACAGCAGCTAACGCGATCTGCATCCTTTCGAATTTGTGCATCCACAGCGAAAAGGTTCATTAAAGATTTTAGTGAGTTTTGCTAATGTTGAAAAAAGCCACTCATTTGGAAATGTGATGCCTGCCAAGCCCAGTAGAGGAGCACTGAAAATTGACTTACAGAATCACAAGTGAACTTTCTCAATGTCTGTCTTCACACTGTAAAAGCATAAGATAGAAGACACCCTATGTAACAATCAAATGTAGATAATCATTGTTTCACATTCAGGTAACAATGATCAAAGATGTATTGTAACTGATAATTTGGTTTTTTTCACAGATATATATTTTGAGCATAAATCAAAATTACCATAATTTGGTGTAAATTCTTCTGATTTAATGGTTAATTGTAGATCTATATAGTTTGAAAGGATATAGGATAGATGTTATACAAGATAATGGTAGCCATGTTAAATAATATACATAATGTAATTGTAATCTTATATAATGGTATATTATAGATCTATATACTCTGAGAGGATTAAAAATAGATGTTATACAAGATAATGGTATCCATGTTAAATAATATATACATATTGTAAATGTAATCTTATATAATGGTATATTATAGATCTATATACTCTGAAAGGATTTAAAATAGATGTTATACAAGATAATGGTACCTCAGTAGAATGTTATAAACAACCTGATAAAGTATTGACTTTATAGTTACCTGTAATAATATAATATTGGGTAGCGGAATCAACATTTCAAGTACTATTGTTGCCGATTACCATTTCTTAGTTTTTTGTGAGGTCGAAGTTTATGGATGTAAGTAGGTTAACACTTTTTTCAAATTATATTAACTACTAAGTCTACTATAAATCAATTTTGTTCTATGCTTCCATTATTGCTTGTTTTTTTCTGATGGCATTTTAAATTTCTCAGTGGAATTTCTATCATCCATTTCTATGTCGAAAACAATCCAAAAGTAAGA